CTAGCCAGATTTGTAAGGTAGAATTGGGATCATGATAGTGGGGGGAGGAAGCATTTAGGAACTAGAGGAAAGTTGTATGTTTCATCGTTGCTACCCTGCACCCTGACTGGCTGGTCTCCTCCCCATGACCCTTCTGTAAGGGGTTGTCCAGTTGTGTACAGATGGGCTTTGGGTCTCCACTCTGCACTCCACCTCATTCACAATGATGATTTTTTGTTCTTTGATGCCTGATACCCGATCCCTTCGAAACCTCGTGGTCACACAGGGTGGTGTGCTTCTTCCTTGTGGGTCTCGTTGCTTCTGCGCTGGATGGCAGCTTGTTTACCTGAAAGCCGAATTGTCTATATTTCTAATACAGCCTCAAGAGACAATGTCATGATCACGTGGCTTGTGGTGGTCTGATTCATGGTCAGCTGGGTCAACAAGTGGGAGTGGGTCTTCCACAGAAAGCAGTGGTCAGTAAATGAACTGGTGACCCAAGACTTAACCTAAATAATGGTTAATAACTCACTACCATTGAAGCGATGTGATGCCCACTCATAGCGATCCCCCTGAGGGTTTCTAAGACTAACTTCTTACGGACCTCGAAAGCCAAGCCTTTCCCCCAAAGAGCCGCCTTTTCCTTCCCCCAGAGAGCGGTTGGCCGTTTTCCACTGCCCACCTTGCAGATCACAGTCCAACACATAACCACTACACCATCAGGGCTCCTACAATGATTTAGAATTCTAAAAATTATGATTTAGAATAGTTCATAAGTTTATAATTTACATAACTTTATAGTTAGGGATTAATTTACAAATGTGTATGATAAATTTACGATTTATTCTAAAAAGTAATTCATAAATTTAATGTATAAGTGTGTACATTTTAAATTATGTAGTTATAACTCATGAAGGTTGTCAACCTTCCTAATGCCGCGACCCTTTAATACAGTTCCTCATGTTGTGGTGACCCCCAACCATAACATTATTTTCGTTTCTACTTCATCACCGTAATTTTGCTAGTTATGAATTGTCATGTAAAATTCTTATATGCAGGATGTATTTTCATTGTTACAAATTGAACATAATTAAGGCATAGTGATTAATCACAAAACTATGCAATATTTATTTCGAATTACCAATAAATGAATTTTTGTCTTAAAATATGGTGTAGCGTGGGTAACAATCTTCATGCCAAGTACTCGTATGTGGGCGGACCCCCTTAGAGATGGATAGAGCTTGTGTCTCAGTTCGTGACCATCAGAAATAAGTGTTTTCCTATCATCTTAGGTGACTGTGAAAGGATGGTTTGAACCCCGAATGGGTCGTGACCCAAGGTTTAGATCCGCTGTTACTATAAATTTTTACATACTTTAAATGTATAAATCGCCTTGAAAAGTGGAAGTTTGTACCTTGGATTAGTTCTGTAGTCCATTGGGACCTGGAGCCACCATGCTTTCTTTACTCAAAGTAGCTCAATGTTTTTGTTGCATGACGAAATGATAAATCGGTGGGAAGGACTTTTAGTTGAATCAAGAAAAATAGCTGACTTTGCAGTGGAAACATCCTAAGGGTAGGCTCTAATTTATAAGTTGGGCATTTATGGATAGTGCCATACTTACATTCACAAGGTCCTGTTCTTAGCTTTGCTTCAAAAACATTTAAATTTTAAGATGCTTTTGGTGCCTGGGATACTTTCAAAATTGACAATCTTTGCAAAGCAGGATTGGCCCTAGGTAGCACTGTGAAGTCAGTAATTTAGACTCAGAAAGTTTTCTACTTTTTGTTGGTAAATTTCCCTTCCTCCACCCTGTATTGCTGCACTGTTCAATTGCTTACCCCCAGGCGTATAACACTTTAATATTCTACCTCCACACCCCCACCATCATTTCCATGAAGCATTCACCTCATAGGATTAGGAACTTAGCCCTTCTGGCTGGTTTACATCAGAAAAATGATTCCTAGGGAATGAGATAATATTTATTCAAAGGAATGAAAGGGGGGGGATGTGAAATGTCAGCTTTGAAAAGCCTAGAAGAACTATCCAAACTCTGAACTCACTGCCTTCCTGTCAATTCCAAACTCATAGCAACCCTATAGGACAGGATGGAATGCTGCCTGTGGGTTTCTGAGACTGTAACTCTATGGGAGTCGAAAACCTCATCTTTCTTCCAAGGAGCTTTTAAATGGCTGTCCTCGCAGTTATCAGCCCAATTTGTAATCACTATGCCACCAGGACTCTTTAGAACTATCAGCCCATATCAAATTATAACATAGACGTACTTCCCATAGAACTGTGGTGTCTCAGCCTTGAGTCTATATAGACCCTGCGGGGGCTTCTTAAAAATAACTGAAGTCCTGGTCACAGAAATTGATTTAGTTGGACTAGGTTTGGATCTGGGCGCAGGGGTTTAAAAACAAAAAGTTCCTCGGATGATTCGAATGTAGATTCCCTGTTGAGAAGGAACTACTGATTTAAACCTGAGTTGCCCTGTTGTTGAGAAAAAGACAAGCAGAACGGCTTTAGAATATCAAACATTAAGGTACAGCTGATGATTAGAGTCATGAATGACGTGAACCCCAAAAAACAAATTCTGAGTCAATTTTAATTGAAAAACTATAGCACAGTGTAGAACCGCTGCAGTGAGTTTCCAAGACTTAACAGAAGTAGGAAGTCTTGTCTCTCTCCCTCAGAAAATGTGGTTTTGAACTGCTGACCTTGCAGTTAGCAGCTTAACACATAACCACTATGCCACCAGGGATCTGACTTAACTGGACAGTTAAAATTAGTCCCAACCAAATCTACTGGCATTGAGTAGATTCCTGCTCATAGTGACCTTTCAAGGACAAAGTAGAATTGCTCCATAGGGTTACCAAGGCTTATTCCTGTGAAACAGACTGTGGACTTTTAAATTAGCAGCTGAGAGCTTAAATCACAGCACAACCAAAGCACCTTAAAAAAATAATCCCTGTACCTCCATAATGCCAAACCAAACGTACTGCCATTGGGTCAATGTCAACTTATAATGACCACTTATAGTTTCTAAGACTGAATATTTACAGAAGCAGTCTTGTCTTTCTCCCACAGAAAGGTTGGTAGATTTGGACAGCCCACTTTGAAATTAGCAGTCCAAGGCCTAACACATACCATCATCAAGGCTCCTTATAGGCAAGTGCTGTACCAGCACCACATAACCCTGTTAGCACAGTGGGTTATGTATTGGGTTGCCAACCAAAAGTTTGACTGTTCAAACCCACCAAATGTTCCATGGGAGAAAGAAAAGGCTGCCTGTTACAGTAACAATATGATCTTAGAAATCTACAGAGGCAGTCCTATCCTGTCTTACAAGGCCACTATGAGTTGGAGATAACTAGATAGCAGGGGGTTTAATGCTAGCAGTTAAAGGATCTGTAGTAGTGCAGTGATTTCACTCGAGGCTGCTGACTAAAGGCCCTCAATTCTAATCTGCTATCTGCTCTGTGGATTACAGCCTTGGAAACCTATCAGTCTATGAGTTTGAATGGATTTGTGCCTTTGTTTTTTGTTTGCTTTAGTGCCAGCACCAAAGGGAGAAGAAGTCATCTCTGACTGGTTCTCCCCCACACTCCTTAACAGCCCCCCTCTCCTGCAAAAAATACCTTGCCCCTAACTTCTGCCCCTTAGGAATCCCTGGGGGCATAGCAGTTCCCAAATATTCATTAGTCTTCGGTTTGAGATACTTTTCACATAGACAACAACTGATTTTGTCATTTACATATTCCTTAGCACTCTTATGTTAAGCATTTGTTAGTGTGAAATTATTTACTTTTATAAAGGCCAGATTCTTATCATATGTAGTTTATCTTTGCTTGAGGGTTTTTTTTTTTTTTTGCCTCCTGTGCTGCCCCATAGCAGCCAATTGCTGTTGATGTCGTAACAAAGCCCTTATTATGACCTAATCTTTATGTTACTATATCAACCACTGCTTGGCTTGCCTTGTGCTTCATTGCTTCAGAGGCTGTCCTTTAGGAAAGTGGATAGAGAAATGAACTGCCTTTTATGCGGTAGTTCCCTTTTTTCTTAAACGATGCTTGTTTCAGAAATCCCTGAGCAAGCAATACCTCCTTTTTAAGGACAATCCTACCCTCTGGATAGCAAGGGTGCCTGGAATGTTTATCTACTAACAAGCCCCTGCCCCAAGATGTCTGGAGAAGACTTAAAACCAACCCCCTTGGAGGAACCTTGTGATCAAAGGAAAACAGGTCATTCTCTATGTCTTTTTTAGGGTGGGGGCAGGGGGCGCATGGGGGTAGTGGAGCCAGATTTCTACAGAAATAGTGGCCTGGACAGTGGGAAAATTGGTTCTTTTTCTGTTTCTTACTGTATACCTAAATTTACCTCCATAAATAGCTAGCTTTATTTATTGTTTAAAATAAGGCAAATAACTGTACTTCATTTGGCATCATTGTAAAGTTTAATTAATGTTTTAATTGTATGGGTTGAACTCACAAGGTGAAAGATTCTGATATGGAATATGTGTTAAAGTGCTCAATCTAGTTAGGGCGACATTGGCTATAATTGTATGGTGGCCTATATTGCACATCTTGATTATTGTGGTTGTAGTGAGTTCAGCCTTGAAATGTATTTTAATGCTTAGAATGTGTTTAACCTTGGTTGGAAACTGTTCAGGTGTATGATATACAAGTGTGTAGGATAAATGTTATTAATGTTTTCACTAGCCCCAATGAATTGATTCTTAATGCAACAGATGCTTTATAAAATAACTTCTCTTTAAATTGGTTCGAGTGTCCTAGAGGAGACAAAATTCTGGCCCTCACACATCATAAGAGGAAGCTTCAAAAAAGTTTTCAGAAAAATGGAATGACAAGATTATGGCAGTTTTAAATAGAGAAGTATTATTAAAATTATGTAAAGATGTGGTAAATGTATAAGGATTGAGTTGACAAAATGAGGTTGTGGTAGGAAGATTATTGATCATTAAAAAAGAAACAAACAGTGAGTTAGATTATCAGGTCATTATTTAAAGTGAGCTAGAACCAAGGATCTGTGCGTTGACTTAAAATCTAACTCCAGTAACTTAAAGGGCTTGGATAACTGCCAGATTAGAAAGCTATTACTCAAATATAGTTGAATATTAATTAACAGGACTCAACTATTCTTAATTTTGTTTTTGGCAAAAACTGCCTGTCTTTATATCTGTGCTTTCAGTTGCATGATTGTTAGGTGTTGTCAAATGGGTTCAGACTCACAGCAGACCCTACGGAAAATAGAACAAAACACTGCCAGGTCTTATGCCATGTACTAATATTTGTGTTTTATTATTTTTTAATCAATTCTTTTGAAGTTTTATTGGCACTAATTCACAAATCATCCAATTCAATAGTTCAATCACATTAAGAGTTCAGTCACATTAAGAAGAGTTGTACAATCATCACCATAATCAATTTTAGAACATTTTCTTCATTATTCCCTATTTTCCCCCAGCCATACATATTTATATTTTTAAAAAATAGCTAGCGTTCCCTTAGAACCCCTGGTGGCACTGTTGGGTAAGCATTGGACTTCCAACTGCAAGGTTGATGGTTCAATTCCTCTAGCTGGTCTGCACAAGAAACGAGGTTTATCTGCTCCTGTAAATATTTACAAAGCCTCTGAAACCCTATGTGGAGTTGCTATGAATTAGACTCAGCTCAATGGCAGTGGGTTGTTGGTTGTTTTGTTTAGTTTAACATTCCCACACATGTTCTAAGTAATAGGAGCCACACAAATTAGAATACCCTTGTTCATTAAATCCTGAAAATGTGTATGTTAATCCTCCTTCATAAAGACAAGGCCTCTTTTATTCTTAGTAAGTAAGAATACATATCCTAGAGGGTGGACTCCAAAATTCCCCCCCTCCCCCCAAATTGATTGGTGTACCCAGCACTCTTGAGCCTCATCTTACTGCTCCCAACCAGACACTCTCCTTTTCAAATCATTCCTGCACATTCCATGTTTCCATAAACGGGCCAAGCCCTTTCACAACTCCCTGTTTTGCCCATATTTCCATTGCCTAGAAAGTCTTTTCACCTCTTGTCTTTTTGGCAATTTCCACTTAGAGACCCAGTATAAATGTCAACTCCTTTTTGAAACACTCCAGTTTCTTGTCTTTCTGTTTTTCGTCTTTTACTTATATGCTAAAGTACTGTTAAAGATTTGGAACCATCTTCCCCCTCCCCCCGCCTGTGGCGTCTCCAGGGCAGGGTCCTGGCATAGGGTCTGACACTGTAAGTCTTCCAGAACATGCTCATTCAATGTTTCTGCAGTTTAATCAGCAGGTTGGCAGATTTAGTTTATTTGACATTGACTTCATTCCCCCTGAGGATGTCTTGGAGTTAAGCAAAAACTTCCAACAGGAAATTGTGGTTCATTTAACCAAATTTAGAGGTGTTTTTGTTTGTTGCTTAGTTCTTTTTTATCCCCTGAAGAGTAATTAAAATTAAAACTTGATGACATTGACCACATCGGTAGAAAACATTGACTTTAATATTCTCCTCAAATGTTTTCTTTGAAACAAAAGGTCTGAGCTAAAATTTGGTAAAAGAATTAACTATGCTGTTAGCTCCGTTTGTCTAAAGGACTGGGTTTAAGGGCCGACATGGCGGGGATAGAAGGTGGTCCTGGGAATTCTGTTGCAAGGAGGTTAGTTGCCTTCCTATTTCTTAGCCTAAAATGGCTTAACTCTGGCCAGCTGTCTTAGAAAATGCTCCTTACATGAAGATAAAAGAAGGTACAATTACATTATTGAGAATGGTTATCAAAATCTAGGCTCCATTCCTTAGTTTGCCAGTAATGCCCTTGACGTAGAAGAGAAACAATGTCTAGCTCTAGCTCCCAGAATCAAAACTCCTTTTCTTGATCTTCAACTTTCCCCCCTTTCCTATCTAAATACTGTGACATTCCTCTTTCTCTCATGCATAATGGCACGATTGTTTTCCTCTATTCTGGGTTACTCCCCTAGCCTTGTACCCTCTTCTTATTTTCTCTTTCAAACTTTCCATTCCCTGTTCCCTTACTTTTTATTCCCCCATACTTTCTCTTCCTCATCCTCCTCTTCTCCAGCTAGCTCACCCCGCCCCTCACCTTCAATACCTTCCCTCCGGAGCTAGCGGGCTTCTTCCCGCTCCTTCTCCCATCACCTACCAGCTCCCCACCCGCCCCACGTTCAGAAAGCTCCAATCAGGAGCTCTGAAGGTGTCTTTAACAGGCCAGCCCCCTCATCCCTTTCTACTTTTCTGCCCCGTCCCCGCCCCCCTTCCCTCCCTCATCCTCCCCCCCACCCACCTAAACTCAAGTCTGCAGACCTGGGGGCTTCGGGATCTGGGCGCTATGAAAAGTGTCTGCTCAGTCACTTCCGGTAAGTGAGATGCAGCGGGAAGCTTCCCGCGGGACCGTTAAGGAGCGGGTAGGAGTTCCTGGTGGGCAGGGGGAGGGGAGTGCTGATGCGTCAGGGAGAGCGAGGCCTCGCCACAGAGTTCTGGGCGCCTTGCGCTTCAGCTGCTCGTCTCCCACCGCCTCCCCGAGCGGCTGCAGTACTGCTCTCTATCCCCCACTCCCTGGGAGAGACGCCGCCCCTCCCACAACACCGCGTGACCGGAAGTATCGCCATCTTTAGCTTCTTGTGCTATTGACAATAACAAGCCCCGGTTCTCTCCCCCTCCCCCTCCCCCTCCCCCAGCCACAGAATCTCCCCTCCCAGAGAGAGGGAGAAAAGGAGGAGGAGCTGCAGCCTCTGAGACTCTCTGAGTCGGTCCTGCAGAAAAGGGGGGGGGGGATTGGAAAGCTGGGGAGGGGGACGGCAGGGACGTTTACCTGTCTCCCTCCTCATTTGCTGTCCCCCTTCGTTCTGCTCACTCCTGGTGTCAGCCTATCCGCCTTCCCAAACCCTCCCATTCCCCCCGTGGTAGCTCCCCCCTTCACTTCTCGTCCTCTGTGTTTCTCCTCTCTCCTTTCTTCCCTTCCCCCTAGCATTGCCTTCTCCCCTTACACGCACGCAGGCATATACACGTAGGCTTTTGATGCTCCTCTGCCTGTTGACCCCGCTATTTTCATGTTTCCAACAGGATTTTCTTCCTCCAATTCCTCAGCTGCTGCTGCTGCTGCTCAGGAGGTCAGATCTGCCACTGATGGTAATACCAGCACCACTCCACCCACCTCTGCCAAGAAGAGAAAGTTAAACAGCAGCAGCAGTAACAGTAGTAACGAGAAGGAAGACTTTGATTCCACCTCTTCCATACCACCTTTACAACGCAGGGATTCAGCATCCCCTTCAACCTCGTCTTTCTGCCAGGGGGGTTCTGTGACTGCTTCCAGCCACATACCGATACAGAAGAAGCTGCGTTTTGAAGACAACCTGGAGTTTGTAGGGTTTGATGCGAAGATGGCTGAGGAATCCTCCTCATCCTCATCCTCATCCTCACCCTCACCAACTGCTGCAACCTCTCAGCAGCAACTTAAACATAAGAGTATATTAATCCCTTCTGTGGCTTCGGTGCATCACACAAACGGCCTAGCCAAATCATCTACCACCGCCTCTAGCTTTGCTAACAGCAAGCCTGGCTCTGCCAAGAAGTTAGTGATCAAGAACTTTAAAGGTAACCAAGGCCAAAATCCAGAATCACCTACTAAGGATTTGACACTTGGGTGGTCACGTGCTCTATTTATGTTAATATATTAAACAGTATTGAGGTGGCCTAATGTTTTATGCATAATCAATGAGGTGGAGGGGAGGTCCTTTTTTGGTGGAGGGTTCATTTTCCGGGGGTGGTTAGTATCCTTGTGCAGAAGCTCACCAGGGTGTTTCTGGGCAGAATCCTGAGGTCTTTTTTCAACCCATTGTGCTTATTTGCTATTTCTTACAACATCAGCAGCCAGTATGATTGATCCAGATTTTACAGGTGAGGAACTTGTGTTCTGTTTCAGGTGTCTACTGAGCTCTGACACTGCTGGGATTTTAGTTCTTTATGCTTCAGTAGGCCACATTTTCCAAACCCTAGAATTGCAGGTAGCAATGGGGATGCTTTCATGCTCAAATGAGATTTCTAATCGGGATGTTTAATGTGGAATACTCTGTTCTTGAAACTCAATGTGGAATGTATATTTGGAGGACAATATTTATGATCTCTGCATTTCTTTCCCAAGATTGGATTTGGCAGTGAAAAAGACTATATACTCAGGAAGTGTAGTACCTGTATCACCATTAGTCTAAAGATTAAAACAATTTCATTTGTTTTTTTTTTGGTGGGGGGAGATGTCACTAAAATGAGTTTTAAAGTACTGACCTGTAGCTTTTAGAAAATTTTGCTCCTACTGTTTTTGAGATAGGATATTTGAGAGTATTAGGAGTGCATTGATGCTAATAAAAGGCAGTGATTTTTAAAATGTGACTGAATTAATTTTTTTATTTGTTGAATATATTTCTATTTTCTCGCTTAACTTTGCCCACAGTCTTAACTACTTGCTGGTAACCAGACATGCTAAAGATTGGTTATTGAATGGAGAAGTAAATGAATGAACTTAAATAATATTTACAAGATAGGTGCCTGTGACTAAATATTGGTGCTGAGGAAAGTAGATTCTCCTTGTTTGTGTTTCCAACATTTGTGTGGACATTAGGAATATTGCTTTATCTCAAGCAAGAGGTTTTAGTGTTGATTTTTAACCTCTTATTTTACATATCACTTTCCTCCCATCCATGCTCCTCAAGAGTGTGGTAGTAATAGAGCTTTCTTGAGCAAACATGGCTTGATTTAATAGCTAAGAATTTTTTAAAGAAATGAGCTATGATCCGAATTGCATGTGCAAACCGGTTTCAGAGATTTTGTTGCTTTCCACCACCACTTAAGTAAAAATACATTATTAAGTCATATAGATGTTTTAATTTTTTTAAAGTCACTCATGGCTAATTAGTAAAGTTTAAATTGGAGTGAAGATTGAAGATTACATTCATTTCTGAAAATTACTAGAGAGATTTTGGAGTTATTTGGATTTCTTTTTTTAACATTTCTGTCTGCTTGAAAATGTAGCGTCAATTAAAATCGGAGTTAAGCGATTTCTTTCTATATCTGTAGATGCTGCATAAATTAGGAAGGGGGTCCTGAGATGTTGATTAGAACCCCAGTTCTGCCAATAATTTGCTGTGGTGGTAACCTTGGGCTAGCCTTTTAATGAGTCTTTGAGCTTCAGACTTTACAATTGGAAAATCGGCATCATAATACTTTTCCTCAGAGTGTGATTGGGAAGATTCATATGTTTATGAAGTGCCTTTTAATAGTAGATAGCATTTTTAAGTATGAAGTGCAGCATTCTTGTCAGCTTTGGTTTCTTACCAGATGGAATAGAACGAGGATATTTTTTCCCCAGTCATTTTTGAGGGTTTTTTTTTTAAGCAATACAACCAATAAGAGAGACAAAAGCCTTACCTTCAATTTTAATAGTCAAATCAAACGACTTAAAGCAGTATTCTGGGATTTCAATTTCTATTTTTATACCAAGTTTAAATCCAGTGATTAGTTTTTCGATGTACTAAAGTTATAAAGATCACAATTTTCCCTGCAAAAGATAATAATGTTACTGTATTTTATGAATCCTTAATCCTGTATACCAGTCTGATATCAACCTTTTATAAATTATTTAGATAAACCTAAATTACCAGAAAACTATACGGATGAAACATGGCAGAAACTGAAAGAAGCAGTGGAAGCTATCCAGAATAGTACTTCAATTAAGTACAATCTCGAAGAACTCTACCAGGTATGTATTGTAAGCAGATTTAATTGGTATAACCCAAGGTGGGATTTTACTTTCTGAAACAGGCCTGTAAATAGACTGAGTTTCTTTCTAATCTACAATTTCTTGATTACGCACTTTGATTTATAATCAAATCACATTCTTAATGTAAATGGTGGGGGCATTTACCTTGGTTTAAAGTGGGGTTATCTTGGACCCCTTCCGATCAAGGTTTAGGAGTACTGCGGGAGAGTTTTTAACCTACAACAGAATCATGCTGTAGGATGACATGTCACTATGTTGTGGCAATTCTTGTTTACTGGTGTTTAGGAACCAAATTCTTGCTTGTGTACTGGAACCAAATCAAACCCACTGCCATTTCATTGATTACCGCTCATAGCAACACTGTAGGGAGCAGATTGTTTCATTTTTATCCCTACGAGGGAGTGGTTAGCAGTTCAGTGCTTTACTGGATATCAGCAGGGCCTCCAGGGTTCCTCAGTAGTAGTCAAACTGCCATCAATTCGGACTCACTGTGACTCTATAGGAGAGAGAACAGCCTCTGTGAAGTCTAGAAAGTCTCATTGTTTTCCCTCAGAGTGGCTAGTGGTTTCAAACTTCTGACCTTGCAGTTAGCAGCCCAACATGCAATCTACCCTGTAATCACCACGGCTCCTTTAGGAGTAGGAGCAGCAGCAATAGTGGAAGTAGTATGTTGTCACTTAAAGATATATCCACTTCATTCATCCATTGATTACATATGTGGCTGTTAAATTAGACAACAATAGAATTAGAAATAGGGATTCTCTTTGTGTAGTGACAACTTTCACAGCGAGTTTATCTTATATTTACCCCTTTTAAACATTACAGAAATTCTTTTTGAAGTCGCGATAGTGCAGCTGTTTTTGTCCCAACTTTATTGATAAGGAAACTGGGTATCAGAGAAGTTAAGTAACCTCCCTAATATGCCCCGGGACATTTGCTACCACTGTGGTTGAGTGGTTAAAGCAAATAAATAGTTTTGCTTTAGGAGAAAGAAATGCTTTATTCTCAGCACAGTTAATTTTTACGGTAATGTGCCTCTCTGGCGTTTATTTGTATATATTGCTGTTCAGCCTGTTTAATTCAACGTTGCTGTAAATATTTTGGATTTATAGCAGATGCTGATTGTGGTTGTTATAGAGCCCTATTTCATGTACCTTGAATATTTTTTTCCAGAGATTTTGATTTGAAAATACTTATCCTGGTGTATTGATTTTGAAGAGCTCATAGCTTTTGTTTTTGTGCGTTTTCTTTTCATATTCAGAGCGCTCACCTGCTGCTACTCAGCTCATTGTTTTAGCTCAAAATCAAGAGTGTTCTCTTTTTTCTTTTAGTGTGTGCATTTTTCATAGTACCTTACTACTTCTGGTGGGTATGTTTTAAAGCATTTGTTTCTATTTTTTTGTTGCTGTTGTATTTGGTGGTTTTTAAAAAAAAACAAACGTTTTATTGGCATATAATTGACATACAATTCAGTCATTAAGATTTGAATAATCATCACTACAATCAATTGCGATTGTGTTTTATAATCATAGTTTTATAAGTGAACCTCCCTTGGATGGTTTTCATAAAGATTATTTTGATAGGTCTTTTTTTGTTGTTTAAGATAAAAGAGGTTAAATTATTCCATGCCATCTGGACTTTAAGGTGTTTACTTGATTTGGGCTTATTAAAATGTGTTGGAAAAGTATTCTCCTAAAATGGAGAAATGGAGAAGCCGACGAAAGTACTCCCAATTCCTCCAGCCCCTTTGCCCATCCTGAAGGAAACTCTTATTTGGCAGATGTCTGTCTAGACCCCTTTCTCTGCATGAAAAACCATTTTGCATTAAAGTCTGAGCCTGGAAATCCCTAGTGTGGATTGCGTGGATTGCCTACTAAGTTTTTAATTTCGAGGAAAGAACATGCTGTTCTTAATGCATTTGCAATACCAGGCATTGCCTTTTATTTTTAAAAGTAGTCTTTTCCAAGTAATTTTATACTAGAATTGTGCCAAGGTTTTAAAAAATTACATTTACCTTGGTAACCTTCAAATCTAATGAATGTAAGGCCAACGGTTCATGTTGTTAGGGGGTTTGTTTGTTATTCGTGATTGATTGAATGCACTGACTTTTGAGTTTTATCAGCTGCCTTAGAGTTGAGGCTTCTTATAGATCCCTAGGTGATAATCTTAAACACACATTTTTTTGTGTACTTAAGAGACACCTGGGGATGTTAAACTATACATGCTGATTCAGTATATCTTGGGTGGAAAGGTAAACTCAGCAGGGGGTTAAATGAACTGGTTCTGAGCTATGCTTAGATAGAGTTGGCCATTCTTTGTTCTGTTAAGGCTGACCAGGTGATTTTGCTAAGACTTAGTTTTCTCCTCCCTAACATGGTGAGATTAACACTGCCTATATAGTGCAGGGTTGTTGAGTTGTAAATGAAATCAATCTCTCTCTCTCTCTCTCTCTCTCTCAGGGTTGTTGAGTTGTAAATGAAATCTCTCTCTCACACATGTGCTTGGTAGAGTGCCTGCTATGCACTGCTATGCATTGATGTCAAGAATGATCATACTAACGATTTGTCTTTACAAATAATATCCTCATCTTAAAATGACATTTTATTATACAACTCTACGCCACATATGTTTTTAAATTCTAAATCTGCACTAGGCTACAACAGCTGGATGATAAACTGATTACACTCCAAATATGCTTCAGTAGATCCCATTAGCCAAATTGAAAAAAAAATTTTTTTAAATGGAGCTCTCTAATTACAGTATCCCTGCCCACTTTTGAAGATTGGGTCTTATTTTCATATGTGGTATCTTAGACATGTGGAATGCTGCTTTTGGTGGGAGAATTCCCCCTCTTTCCCTCAAAGTTACATTTTAAACAGTGGGATTATTTGCTTTATCTAAAATGTCACATCAGTGTTTTATAATCACCTACTTTTTTTTTTAGCTAGCTGGTAGTATGTATACGACAGTGTAACTTAAGTAACCCCTTAATATAAGTATGGAGGTGTTATCTCTAAAAGGAGCACTGGTGGCATAGTGATTATGCTTTGGGCTGTGGTCTGCAAGGTCAGCAGTTCAAAACCACTACCCACTCCACAGAAGAAAGGTGGGACTTTTTCTACTCTTGTAAAGAGTTAGTCTCTGAAACACACAGCGCCAGTTCTAACCTGTCCTATAGGGTTGCTGTGAGCTGGCTTTGACTCAGTGGCAGTGAGTGAGGAATTATTTTTGAAGGCAAGCCTAGTGCATCAATTCTGATGGACATAATTTTATGTTTTCATTAACTGAACCTCTTAACTTGGTTAGGTGTTTGTGAAATAAATGTTAAGTAATGAACTCTTCCATTAGTGAAGAAACTAGTGAATCCACTTTCTCAACTCAAACTCAATGCTATTGAGTCAATGCCGACTCATAGTTAGTATAGGACAGAGTAGAACTTACCCTTCAGGTTTTAGAGACGTTTAACTCTTTACCTGAATAGACAGCCCCATCTTTCTCCCAGAGAGCCAGCTGGTGTGTTCAAACTGCTGACTTTGTGGTGAGTATAGCTCAATGTGTAGCCAGCCTACTCTGCTGTCAGAGCTTCTTGATTCTTCCTTAGTATTGTTTAATATCCATTGTAAAATAGAGTTGATTTAGTTAATGGTTAAAAGCTAGTAATTTCATTCTTAGCTTCCACGACTTGCTGATTGTGGTTCTCTGTAAGTTTGCTTAGCTGCTGCTGTTCGATTGAAGGTTTTAAAAAGACTTGGCTGTTACAAGCTATGCATAGCACCTGTTTGACTTACGTAGTGCTGTAACAGATGTGCCACACAAGTGGATAGCTTTAACAAACAAATTTATTCTCTCACAGAGGCTAGAACTCCAAATTCCAGGTGACAGCTCTAAGGAAAGGCTTTCTCTGTGTGTTCGATCTGGGTCCTTGTGTCCTTTTTAACATCTGTGGAGCCTTGAAGATCTCTAAGTGTCTTGGCATCAGTCTTACCCTGAGGCTAGGAGGTTCTCAATGTAGGGACCCCATGCATCATGGACACACTGTGTTCCCAGTTCTTTTTTGTTGGTAGTGCTGAGGTCCCTTCACTCCTTTCACTATTCTTTTGTGAGACCCAGGATACTTCCCACATCAGATAAAATGTGACCTGAGTAAAGGCATTACACCTCACCCTACACCCCTTAAAACCGATTGGGTGGCCATCTCATAAATGACAATGTCACTGCATTACTGCCAGGTCCATCATCACAGAACTGCCAGAACCACTGAGAATCATGGCCCACCAAGTTGACACATATTTTAAAGGGACACGATTCAGTCCATGGCATGCCCTTTTACTGACTTGTTAATACTGTCTGCTATTTTTTTAAGTTCAACTATAAATTTTTCATCCTTGATACTTTTGGGGGGTCTGTCTCATTTAAGCCCTTTTCCCTAGTAGATAAAAATAAAAGTAATTTAGATTTCATTATTTAGTTTCCTTATACAAATTCTTAGTTTTTGGTGTATTTTTGGTCTCTTATTTTAGATATTTAGACTAGATGTGAAAAGAGAAAGAATGTAGACCATATTGCTGTATCTGTTAAAAAGTGTTTTGATTTGTTTTCCTTTCTTTGAACATAACACTTTGGAAAAGAATACCCAACCCCTTAGGCTGATTACCCCAGAGTTTAGCGCTATGAGGGTCATTCATTAACTTATTATCTGTTGTGCATAAATCAGAAGTCACTTGTAGAGGCCCCTTCACCATGTTAAATTCTCTATCTTTGCACTCTCTTTTTTCCTTCACCATTTTTCTCTTATCTGCATTCCCATTCGGTCTTCTGCTCTGTTCCTTGCTCATTGTACAATGTTGTGTTCTTTTGACCGTTTCTTGACTCCCACATGCCCCAAAGCATCATGTTTCATGAATTACAGTTCTGGAGTTCATTTGCTATATATTCATATTTTCTTTGGAATATGTCATTTGCCCTGCCAATATGTATTT